AGATAATCCATCCACCTGACAGGTGTGGCATATCAAGAAGCCGATTAAACAGCATGATCATTACTCAGGTGCACCTTGTGCTGAGGACAATAAAAGGCCACTCTAAAATGTGCAGTTTTGTCACACAACACAATGCCAGATGTCTCAAGTTGAGGGAGTGTGCAATTGGCATGCTGACTGCAGGAATGTCCAACAGAGATGTTGCATGTTAAGTTTATGTATTTTTTCAGTTACAATCCAGGTGTGCAAAGCTCTTAGAGACTTACCCAGAAAGACTCACAGCTGTAATCACTGCCAAAAGTGCTTCTACAAAGTAGTGACTCAGGGGTGAGAAAGCTTTATGTAAATGAGATATTTCAGCATTTCATTTTCAATACATTTGCAACAATTTCTAAAAACATGTTTTCACTTTGGGTATTGTGTGTAGGTGGGTGAGAAAAATTATAATATTTAATCCATTTTGGCTGTAACACAACAAAATGTGGAATAAGTCAAGGGGTATAAATACTTTCTTTAGGCACTGTATATACTGCATAGTGTGTTTATAAATAGTGTATAAATACATACAGTCAAACTCCTGGCTGTCTGTCTGAATGTTGTTACACATCAAGTCCAGAGAGCGCAGACACATTTTCCTGACACAAATAACACACCTAAGAAGACCCACCGACCAGTGCTCTCATCGACCTCCAATATACAGTGAGGGAAAAAAGTATTTGATCCCCTGCTGATTTTGTAAGTTTGCCCACTGACAAAGAAATTATCAGTCTATAATTGTAATGGTAGGTTTATTTGAACAGTGAGAGACAGAATAACAACAAAAAAATCCAGAAAAACGCATGTCAAAAATGTTATAAATTGATTTGCATTTTAATGAGGGAAATAAGTATTTGACCCCCTCTCAATCAGAAAGATTTCTGGCTCCCAGGTGTCTTTTATACAGGTAACGAGCTGAGATTAGGAGCACACTCTTAAAGGGAGTGCTCCTAACCTCAGCGTGTTACCTGTATAAAAGACACCTGTCCACAGAAGCAATCAATCAATCAGATTCCAAACTCTCCACCATGGCCAAGACCAAAGAGCTCTCCAAGGATGTCAGGGACAAGATTGTAGACCTTCACAAGACTGGAATGGGCTACAAGACCATCGCCAAGCAGCTTGGTGAGAAGGTGACAACAGTTGGTGCGATTATTCGCAAATGGAAAAAACACAAAAGAACTGTCAATCTCCCTCGGCCTGGGGCTCCATGCAAGATCTCACCTCGTGGAGTTGCAATGATCATGAGAACGGTGAGGAATCAGCCCAGAACTACACGGGAGGATCTTGTCAATGATCTCAAGGCAGCTGGGACCATAGTCACCAAGAAAACAATTGGTAACACACTACGCCGTGAAGGACTGAAACCCTGCAGCGCCCGCAAGGTCCCCCTGCTCAAGAAAGCACATATACATGCCCGTCTGAAGTTTGCCAATGAACATATGAATGATTCAGAGGAGAACTGGGTGAAAGTGTTGTGGTCAGATGAGACCAAAATGGAGCTCTTTGGCATCAACTCAACTCGCCGTGTTTGGAGGAGGAGGAATGCTGCCTATGACCCCAAGAACACCATCTCCACCGTCAAACATGGAGGTGGAAACATTATGCTTTGGGGGTGCTTTTCTGCTAAGGGGACAGGACAACTTCACCGCATCAAAGGGACGATGGACGGGGCCATGTACCTTTCCTCAGCCAGGGCATTGAAAATGGGTCGTGGATGGGTATTCCAGCATGACAATTACCCAAAACACACGGCCAAGGCAACAAAGGAGTGGCTCAAGAAGAAGCACATTAAGGTCCTGGAGTGGCCTAGCCAGTCTCCAGACCTTAATCCCATAGAAAATCTGTGGAGGGAGCTGAAGGTTCGAGTTGCCAAACGTCAGCCTCGAAACCTTAATAACTTGGAGAAGATCTGCAAAGAGGAGTGGGACATAATCCCTCCTGAGATGTGTGCAAACCTGGTGGCCAACTACAAGAAACGTCTGACCTCTGTGATTGCCAACAAGGGTTTTGCCACCAAGTACCAAGTCATGTTTTGCAGAGGGGTCAAATGCTTATTTCCCTCATTAAAATGCAAATCAATTTATAACATTTTTGACATGCATTTTTCTGGATATTTTTGTTGTTATTCTGTCTCTCACTGTTCAAATAAACCTACCATTAAAATTATAGACTGATCATTTCTATGTCAGTGGGCAAACATACAAAATCAGCAGGGGATCAAATACTTTTTCCCCCCTCACTGTATGTGAACAGTACCTCGAGGAGGTCCGCGAGGTGTCCCACCCCTGGTCTGTGATGCAGTTGTGCCTCAAGTCCAGACCTGTCAATCAATAACACACCTGGAATAACAACAACACACAATGACATGCATCTCAATATTTCGACTTCCTCTACCTGCACTGATCAGAGAGAACCAGACATGTGAAAACATGGTACCCCTGTGCTTCCATGTCTACAATGCTTTCACCTATCCTATTCACTCACTTCTCAGAGCAGATGAAGGAGAAGAGGTTCCCACTTGAGACTTGTTAGAATGCAGCCAATGCAGGCTGTCTCAACAGTAAACCTGACCTACAGTGGGGAGAACAAGTATTTGATACACTGCCGATTGTGCAGTTTTTCCTACTTACAAAGCATGTAGAGGTCTGTAATTTTTATCATAGGTACACTTCAACTGTGAGAGACGGAATCTAAAACAAAAATCCAGAAAATCACATTGTATGATTTTTAAGTAATGAATTTGCATTTTATTGCATGACATACGTTTTTGATCACCTACCAACCAGTAAGAATTCCAGCTCTCACAGACCTGTTAGTTTTTATTTGAGAAGCCCTCCTGTTCTCCACTCATTACCTGTATTAACTGCACCTGTTTGAACTCGTTACCTGTATAAAAGACACCTGTCCACACACTCAATCAAACAGACTCCAACCTCTCCACAATGGCCAAGACCAGAGAGCTGTGTAAGTCATCAGGGATAAAATTGTAGACCTGCAATAGGCTGGGATGGGCTACAGGACAATAGGCAAGCAGCTTGGTGAGAAGGCAACAACTGTTGGCGCAATTATTAGAAAATGGAAGAAGTTCAAGATGACGGTCAATCACCCTCAGTCTGGGGCTCCATGCAAGATCTCACCTCGTGGGGCATCAATGATCATGAGGAAGGTGAGGGATCAGCCCAGAACTACACGGCAGGACCTGGTCAATGACCTGAAGAGAGCTGGGACCACAGTCTCAAAGAAAACCATTAGTAACACACTACGCCGTCATGGATTAAAATCCTGCAACGCACGCAAGGTCCCCCTGCTCAAACCAGCGCATGTCCAGGCCCGTCTGAAGTTTGCCAATGACCCCAAGTACAACCCCAAGAACACCATCCCAACCGTGAAGCATGGAGGTGGAAACATCATTCTTTGGGGATGCTTTTCTGCAAAGGGGACAGGACGACTGCACCGTATTGAGGGGAGGATGGATGGGGCCATGTATCGCGAGATCTTGGCCAACAACCTCCTTCCCTCAGTAAGAGCATTGAAGATGGGTCGTGGCTGGGTCTTCCAGCATGACAACGACCTGAAACACACAGCCAGGGCAACTAAGGAGTGGCTCCGTAAGAAGCATTTCAAGGTCCTGGAGTGGCCTAGCCAGTCTCCAGACCTGAACCCAATAGAAAATCTTTGGAGGGAGCTGAAAGTCTGTATTGCCCAGCGACAGCCCCGAAACCTCAAGGATCTGGAGAAGGTCTGTATGGAGGAGTGGGCCAAAATCCCTACTGCAGTGTGTGCAAACCTGGTCAAGACCTACAGGAAACGTATGATCTCTGTAATTGCAAACAAAGGTTTCTGTACCAAATATTAAGTTCTGCTTTTCTGATGTATCAAATACTTATGTCATGCAATAAAATGCAAATTCATTACTTAAAATCATACAATGTGATTTTCTGGATTTTGTTAGTTCAGTCAGTTTGAGTGTGATGTTTCTACAGAATGCAGACAGACAGGCAGGGGTTGGTCAAGCTCGTTCATGAAGGAAAAGTGAACGTCAGTACAAGAAGTTGCTTTTGCGGCTAGAAAATGAACTGTGCATGATGCTGCGAACCTACCCTGTCTTCCCCTCAGTCTCTTTCAGGAATTCTAAAATGTATCGATTGGCTGGTAGTTTTTTTTCTTGGCAAACAGATTAGTAAACAAACCTCTGTAATACTAACCAAGAGAGACTAGGCTAGCTGCGAATATATAAAATACCAGGCCAATGTTACATTCCTATGGCAACACAGGCGCTGGGAAAACCAAAATGCAAGGGAAAAACGCACGCCAACATTCATTAGATTTAATTATCTGAAATTGTTTTAAAAAAATTAACAGTATTTAAAAACGTTACCTCTCTTTAATCCACACTGATGTAAAATGTTCAAGGGCTAAATTGCATTCTAGTGGTCCATCTATAAAAGATACTGTCATTTTGTGGAAAGGATGAGAAAGCGCAAAGATTTCAGATATTTATTCCTCAGAATAAAGAAGCTGTTGAATTGAAAAAAACACATTAACTTTTCATAAATAACCATCCAATCTCAATGTTACCTCTAGCTTCCATAAGACATAAGCCCCATGTTACTGAGACGTGGGTTTAAAACCAGAACATTGAACAGAGAACCATCAGGAATGGCTGTGTAGAGAAATGCAAAGCCAGCACACGGTGAGCCTGGCTTTTCTGTGGGTAGATCCTCAGTGACTATCTCACTTAACTGTATACAGCAATAGCAATTTAAAACAGCATAAAAATAAAATACTTTTAGATCGGCGACGGAGAGAATTACATGACATATCAACGTTTGTCAACATCGCCACTATTCACACAGTTATATATCTGACTACAGCTGATTCATGTTGGATCCTGTAGGTCCAGGTGATCCAGTTGAAACGGTGGATCGACTCCAAGCCTGAGAGTAACGTTAGGGTCTGGGTTAGAGTGAGGGGTCAGAGTTGGTCAAGTCAGGGCAGAGGTCGTTGTCCAAAGTTCTAATGATGATGATCTGCTCCATATTTTCGGCAGGCGAGGCTGGGGAAGAGAAGGAGAGGGAAGATGTATGCAGCTGCTCCACTAGAACACGGAGAGGGTTAGGGCTCAAGTTAGGGGTCACAGGCTCAGGGTTGTCCGGTTCCTCGGGGTCAGGGTTGTAATCGGTGTCAGGGTTGTCTGGTTCCTCAGGGTCAGGGTTGTCTGGTTCCTCAGGGTCAGGGTTGTCTGGTTCCTCGGGGTCAGGGTTAGGGTTGTCTGGTTCCTCAGGCACAGGGCTGGGCGCATCGCGGGAGATCATTCCCTGGTGGTCAATAGGAATGTTGTGGAGGAGAACACCTTCTGGAACAGCCACTGGAGCTGGAGAACACACAGGAACATACACACGTTAAAGAGACTGAACGGGATCTTAAGCACTTACGAATTCGTAACATATCCTGTGAATTGCAGGACGTAACATATCATACAAAATGGATGACGTACACAATAGCAAACAATTTTCGGGGGCCCGTTTTGCCTCGTGAGCACTATTAGCTGACATTATACAAAATCTTAACACATCTTTTAACATAATACAGTGCCTTGCAAAAGTATTCAGACCCCTTGGATTTCTTCACATTTTATTGTGTTACAAAGTGGGATTAAAATAGATTTCATTGTCATTTTTTGTCAACAATCTACACAAAATACTCTGTAATGTCAAGTGGAAGAAAAATATTGTGTTTTATAAATAAAAAATGTATAACTTAAATATAGTTGTTGCATAAGTATTCAGACCCTTTGTTTAGGCAAACCTAAATTAGTTCAGAAGTAGAATTTGGCTTAACAAATCACATATTAAGTTATATGGACTGTGTGAAATAATAGGGGTTGACATGGTTTTTAAATGACTAACCCTTCCTCTGTCCCCCATACATACAGTGCATTCGGAAAGTATTCAGACCCTTTGACTTTTTCCGTATATTGTTACGTTACAGCCTTATTCTAAAATGGATTAAATACATGTTTTTCCCTCTTCAATCTAAACACAATACCCCATACCTTATTTACATAAGTATTCAGACCCTTTGCTATGAGACTCGAAATTGAGCTCAGGTGCATCCTGTTTCCATTGATCATCCTTGAGATATTTCTACAACTTGGGAGTCCACCTGGGGTAAATTCAATTGATTGGACATGATTTGAAAAAGGTACACACCTGTCTATATAAAAGGTCCCACAGTTGACAATGCATGTCAGAGCAAAAACCAAGCCATGAGGTCGAAGGAATTGTCCGTAGAGCTCAGAGACAGGATTGTGTCGAGGCACAGATCTGGGGAAGGGTACCAAAACATTTCTGCAGCATTGAAGGTCCCCAAGAACACAGCGGCCTCCATAATTCTTAAATGGAAGAAGTTTGGAACCACCAAGACTCTTCCTAGAGCTGGCTGCCCAGCCAAACTGAGCAATCGGGGGAGAAGGGCCTTGGTCAGGGAGGTGACCAAGAACCCAATGGTCACTCTGACTGAGCTCTAGAGTTCCTCTGTGGAGATGGAAGAACCTTCCAGAAGGACAACCATCTCTGCAGCACTCCACCAATCAGGCCTTTATTGTAGAGTGGCCAGACGGAAGCCACTCCTCAGTAAAAAGGCACATGACAGCCCGCTTGAAGTTTGCCAACCATGAGAAACAAGATTCTCTGGTCTGATGAAACCAAGATTGAACTCTTTGGCCTGAATGCCAAGCGTCACGTCTGGAGGAAACCTGGCACCATCCCTACAGTGAAGCATGGGTGGCAGCATTATGCTGTGGGGATGTTTTTCAGCAGCAGGGACTGGGAGATAGGATTAAGGGAAAGATGAACAGAGCAAAGTACAGAGATCCTTGATGAAAACCTGCTCCAGAGCGCTCAGGACCTCAGACTGGGGCGAAGGTTCACCTTCCAACAGGACAATGACCCTAAGCACACAGCCAAGACTACGCAGGAATGGCCTCGGGACAAGTCTCTGAATGTCCTTGAGTGGCCCAGCCAGAGCCCGGACTTGAACCCGATCGAACACCTCTGGAGAGACCTGAAAATAGCTGTGTAGCGACGCTCCCCATCCAACCTGACAGAGCTTGAGAAGAATGGGAGAAACTCCCCAAATACAGGTCTGCCAAGCTTGTAGCGTCATACCCAAAAAGACTCACAGCTGTAATCGCTGCCAAAGGTGTTTATAACATGTATTAACTCAGGGAGCTGAATAGGTATGCAAAGACTATATTTTAGTTATTACATTTCTATTAATAAAAATAAATAAATAAATACTGTATTTTGTGTAGATTGTTGACAATTTATTCATTAAAAAAAAACATTTTAATCCCACTTTGTAACACAATAAAATGTGAAGAAATCCAAGGGGTCTGAATACTTTTGCAAGACAGTGTAGATGGTAAAAGGATAGAAGACACAGAGACAGAATCTCACCTAAGTGTTGTCTCTCTTGGTGTTTCTTCAGGCTGCTCATGCCAGCGTAGGTGTTTCCACACAGCTCACATGTCACACGCTGCTTAACAGCTGGCCCTCCACCTACACACACACACACACACACACACCGCACATCTCTCCTCATGCTCTACAACTAGGGCCAGGAGTCTTTTCCTGGTCAAGTCACATGGTCATGAAAAGCAAAGGGCCCCATCTATAATCTCCATATAAAGTCCTTTATCAGTCGACCTTCTACTTTTATAGCATGCCTTCTTCTCCATCCTCTGTTCTTTACCTACACATCTCTCTCCTCTTCCTCCTCTCTCTCTCCAACCTGTGTTTCCTCCTCTCTCTCTCTCTCTCCACTCCTGGGCAGAAACCCTTCTAGAACACAGTAGATCTACCGACAACTAACAGACAGTAAGGGATTTGACAGCTAGAAACTTGGCACTTGTCAGTCACACACTCACTCTGTTTCTGTTACTATGTATTTATCTAAGCTGCTCAACCATGTCACTACTCACTTTAGCACACTTCATAGTCTATACTGTATACTCTTACTGTGATATATTGCAAACATTACTATTTTTTTTTTTTTATATATAACTTGTGTATTTGAGAGCTTGCAACTAAGCATTTCACTGTACCGTTTACACCCTGTAACCAGTGTTACACCCTGTAACCAGTGCACGTGACCAATAAACGTTGATTTGATATTTTCATGAAGTCAAAGTAGTTGGTTTTAACGTGTGTGTGTGTGTGTGTGTGTGTGTGTGCGTTACGTAGACTCACCGGTGTGGATGCGAGAGTGTTTGTTGAGTTCTCGTTTGGTAATGAAGGCCCTCTGACACACCAGACACTCGTGTGGAGCTTCACCTGGAAAACACACAGACAACCACACGTCAGAGAAGACATGCTCACACACACACACACACACACCGTCAAGTCTAATTTCACTGGTAATTTCTCTTTGCGTGAGTGTGTTACCTGTGTGTTTGCGTTTGTGTGTGATGAGAGAGGAAGAGACGGAGAAGGCCATCCCACAGGCGTCACATTGGTAAGGTTTCTCTCCTGTGTGGATCCTCATGTGATAGGTAAGAGTACTGGCCTGGGCAAAACCCTTACCACACTGTTCACACACATACGGCTTCTCTCCACTGTGCTTCCTATATGGACACACACATGGACACACACACAGTTAGATAGATAAACACAAATAGGTCTTCTCTCCACACCATCCTACCTGCTGTGTATCTTGTAGTTAGATGAGGTAGCGAACTGCAGCCCACATTGTTCACAGGTGTAAGGTTTCTCTTCTCCGTGGTACATTCGACGGTGAGCCACCAACTGACACTTCTGGGCAAAACCCTTGTCACACTGAGAACATCCAAATGGCTTCTCTCCTAGAAAGGCAGAGAGAGAGTTAGGGTGTCACCTGTGTGTATGCTTGGTGTGTATTTGTGTGTCTCACCTGTGTGTATACGGAGGTGAGTCTTGAGCTGGTTTCCTTGTGTGAAAGCTCGGGGACAGAAGAGACACTGGAAAGGTTTTACTCCTTTATGGATCCTCATGTGTCTCCTCAGACTACTGATCTCAGAAAACTCTTTGTTACACTCAGCACACACTGGCTTCTCTTTCACCTGCTGGCTCTTCAACCCAGCCTTCCCCTCCTCATCTCCCTCCCTCCCCCTCTCTCCCTCATCCCCCTCTCCATCGCTTGATCGGTTCTCCTTCAGTTTCCCTCTTCCTCTGCCCCTCCCTCTCTTTCCTCCTCTCCTCTCTCCACTGCTCCTCCTCTTCCTCTTGACAAGTTTCAGTGACGATGGGCTGAGGTCTGACTGGTTCTCCTCGACGATCTGAAGGTCTGACTCTTCTAACGACAGATCCCTACCCCTTCCTCTCCCTCTCCCTCTCCCCCTCCCTCTCCCCCTGCCTCTCCCCCTACCCCTCTGAGGCTGGGTGACTTTTGCGTCATCTGGGATGTCATCATGGCTAGCTGATGTTTGGCTACTTGGCAAGGTTTGGTTTCTAGGTGAGGTCTGGTTTCTAGGTGAGGCCTTGGGCTTTCTCCCCTTCCTCTTCCTGGCTCCTCTTCGGGGGGATGTTGGGGGGCTTGGAGAGGGAGGGGTGTACTCTGGATCTTCCCTCTCCTCATCCTTCTCTACCGACCCCACTCCAGACAGAGGTTTGATTGCCTCTGGGCTGGGGGGTAAGAGAGGGGAGGGGGGTGAGGGAGCGGAGGGGGTGGGTGGGGCTGACTCTATCCTCGTCTCCTGTTGGCTGTCTGTCTTGTCTTTCAGGAGACGCTCTGCCTCCCTCATCCCCAGGAATACCGCCGCTCTCAGCACAGCCTCCGACCCCTCACTGTTATCGTCAACCACACATAAACAAGAGAGCAATAACAACAGATGAACAACAATACTGTATTATACATAGTTATTGTGACACTAATATGGTGGTGTAGTAGTATTATTCAGGGGAAGTAGTGAATAAGGGAGCTTACACACCTTTTGATTTGGTGAAGTGTTTCCACAACTATTGCTAAATTAGCCTTGTACACACCAGTGTAGTGATGTACCTACCTGTCAGTGTGTAGTTCTCCAGTATAGATGTATTTCAGCAGGATGTCCAGGGCCTGCTCACTGACAAACTCAGGGTTAAGGGTCGTGACCCGGTGACCTCTGTCAGGCAGTGCCGAGAAGAACCCGCTGAACGCCGCCAGGACATTACGGTGCGCTCTGAACAGTGTGTCGCCCACAACGACCGTGATGTCACACAGAACGTTGCTTTCCCGCTGCCAACGCAGCTGCTCCAACAGGTGCTCGCTGTGGGCCTGCTGTGACATCACTGCTTCCAGGGTCACGCCGAGGTCAAACTGCAGGGAGGATAATTAATTTCAATGGGGTTGTTTTTTTTTAACTAATAGTGCTTCACCTATACTAATAAATCTTTATGGCATAGGAGGTTGTGTTTGCAAGGTTGTTGCTGGTTAATTTGAGTAATTTTTCACTAACAGTGCAGGCTAGGACAGAGCCAACCTCAGACTGCCAGTATTTAAAGTGTTTCCCAATCTCTTTTATGCGAATTAAATATATTACTACCATTGTCTTTTCACAACCTTACTATTTCACTTCATCAATAATATTTAAAACATTTCTACTTGTCCATCTTTTCTCAACCAAAATATTTGGCTTATCTATTCATCTAGCAACTATTCCCTTTGCTCTTAATTTTATTGGTTCTTTACTTGTGTCTCCCCCAGCAGGATATAAATGTAGCTACATTTACATAAACACACATACTCACCCTTTATAATAGGTGTTATTGTTTGGTTGAAAATACCAGGTGTTGTTCTGTTGGGATAAAATTAAATGATTGAAATTAATACACATTACAACGGAAACACTCATCTCATCCTACTCTGCAGCTACACGGTAGATGCCAGAGTAACGTTAACGTTATGAAAATAAAAGTTCATCACGAATCCTACGATGGCTTCCTGCCCCCACAGGAATCCGCGCAAATCAGCTACATTATTTTTTACCATGATTATATCAATGACATTGTGAATGATTTTGAATAAATAAATATCCTTGTATACTGGCCACAAAAACGTTTATGGAGCTTGAAACCATTTACTTAATGTGAAGTTTAGCTAGGTTAGGCCCATTTGATTATCGCGGATGAGCGCGCTAACGTTAATAACAAAGGGCTCTTATTTCGAAATGCGACGAGGAGTGCGCGGTAAACTACATTGGGAAGTTTTAAAATTACGGAGCATTCGGTTGCGTAATCACACGGATACATATATCATTAAAAACATATGATATGTAGCAATTAAGCACAGAAACGGTTTTTAAATGTGTGTAAAATGACAATACCTTATAATCCCTTTGACTGAGTAGCCATTTTCTGATTACGTCATAGCACGACTCAAGTCTCGCGAAGTTTGGAAATAGAGAGCAATAGTAATGGCGTCTTTTTGTGAATTTTGAAGCATTTTTGTAATTTAAAAAAAGCACATACAGGCTTCATAATTCATAAAGGAAAAGTTAACTGACTGATATATCATAGAACAAAACGTATAAGATCTCCTAAGCCTGTGTTAACCTCCAACCTTATTTTCTGCGTTTATCCCAAAACTGTTCTTTACCCATTCATTTTCCCATAGGAATGGCTGAACGAACCAGAGGTAACTCATTTGCGGTTTTTAAGATTATAAACTGGCGAGCTCTATATACATTTTTGTCAGTTTCTTTGTTACATCCAGATTTTTACATGAAATGGAAAGACAAACACGTTACAACCACAGATAGAACAATGAGCCAAATATTTCACCAGATGTATAAATGTGAAGCATCCGGTTGGCGTTTCCACTCACTACCAAATATGGTGATGAGAGGAAGCCCAATGACTGGCAGTGGGAGAAGATGGAGCGTGATGGATTTTGGCAAACATTTTTCAAATTTTAATAATAAGTAAGTACATTTTCTCATCAACGAAACATTTGATCTGCATACAGTTTTCTGTTTCCAAAACTAGAATCTGTAACAAACAGAGTGGACTGCGTTTTGCATACTTTGCCACAGTTTTAAAAAATTGCTTTGTTTAGGAGTTTAGGGGCGAATTGAGTTATTGTACACTTCCACTTCACAGAATAGGCGTTCCCTAACAGAAATATGCAAATATATGCTAGAACACGCCAATAGGATCTCACTAGCTCGTGCTTGGCTCTGACCACTACCTTGCTTGTTCTGCCCACTATGATTAATTTACTCCCATTGTAAACGACAGGCTCTGGTCTAGCTTGGGTTAGTTATGAAAAATCTTCGACCTTACTGTTTACAAGTCTCTTTATTTAAATGTAAATAATATTTTCAATCCAAACCAGGGAAAAACAACAAGAATGTTATGCTTAAAATAATTAAATGACAGAGTAGACTGTGATGTGGCAGTGCATTTCTGTACAGAACCCTATACAGAAATTAGACAAAAAATAAAACATTAACAACATCGAGTCCAACCTTTAAAATGTCATTTAAAATGTGCATAAAAAAAAAACCGCATTGTAAAATCTACTCTACTTTTTCCATTTAAAATACAACTAGTTGTCCATGTATGATGCAGTATTCCAGTTTATTTAGTTTAGCTAAGGGGTGACAGCAGGAGGGTTGAAGATCAGGGTTGGAGTTTTATTATTGTGTGTGTGTGTGTGTGTGTGTGTATGTTGGTAGTTATGTAGGTAGATATGCGTGTTGGTTGGTAGGTAGATAATTCCATTCCAGCAATTACATTGGCAGTGACGTACTGTCCCCACGAGTGACAGAACACGAAGCTAATCATGGCGCAACTAGAGAACATTACCAACACCTACGCTCCGTATTTTCCACTGGCTGCCCCACCACCACCACAGAAAGCACTGAGCTAGGCAGAAACACTTGCATTTTGGAGCTGCCTTACTCAAGAAAGCAAAAAAGAGACCATGTTTGTAAATGGCTTTATTAACTCAAATATTTTTTTTATATATTATTTTTTGTACATTGTTTGCAAACTGATATGTGACATGTATTAATGCCAAAATAACATGCAAGACAGGCATGTGAAACCCTGACCAAGGTTGCCACAGGTTGTTTTCCCCACAGGCAGGCAGGGCCCCCGACGTTCTATCTAATACCGACTGGGACTATAACATATGGACCACCCATACACAAAAAAAATTTATGCACGCATGACTGTAAGTCGCTTTGGATAAAAGCGTCTGCTAAATGGCATATTATTATTATTATTAATGAGCCAGTCCTCCTATAGCTCCCCCCCACCAGCCCCCTCTGGTGTGTATTACAGCGGGGGGAGCCCTATGTGGTGCACATTGCAGTATGGCTGTATGAGGTTTCTGGCTGTAGACCAGAAAGTGTCGGTGAAGCCCAGTCCTGTACAGTGGTTGTAGCAGCCGGGGACAATGGAGACCAGGACACCCAGAGGAACCAGGAAACCCAGGGTGAAACCTCCTGCTGCTCGGACACCTCCCACCAGATCTGACCACACAACACTCTTCTCCTCTAGCATCTGTTTCTCCTCCTTAACCACCTCTGCCTTCTTCTCATCTGCCTCTCTTTCTACCCTCTCCTCCACTCTCTGCTCCTCCTCTATCTTCTCCTCCCCATCACAGGAGTCCTCCTGGGGTAGGAAGTGAACACACGCATTTAACAACAGCGTCTCTCCCCCAGGGTGTGGGTGTGTGTGTGAAGCTGTAGGAGGGGCTCATTGTAAAGGCTGGAATATAATAAATGGTAGTATCAAACATATGGAAACCACATGTGTACATCTGTTCCATAAATTCCATTCCAGCCATTACAATGAGCCTGTCCTCATTCACTGGTGTGAAAACACTAGCTGTGTTCGAATACCCATACTAACAATGTATACTACATACTATTTGTTTATTTTAGTATACTGTAAACTATTTGTTTATTTTAGTATACTGTAAACGAACGGTATCGTTTCAGTTGAGCGTACTTGAGCTTCGCCTGTCTACCGGAAGTTGATGTTGTTGCTATGCAACCTCTTGCTAACTTGTTAGCATAACAAATGACTAGCTAAACATTTTACGATTTCGGATGTGTTCGTAAATTCAATCTGGAGTGCCAGAGTGCGCTCTGGGCGTTCGTAAATCTAGGGCGCTGTCAGATTGTCCGTTCGTAAATTCAAAGCGCACACTGGAAGCTCTGGCCGAGGAGTAGGTTGATCCGAGCGTTCAACGGCAGTCAAGCACCCAAGCTAACTGGCTAGCTACTTCCAGACACAAATGAGAGAACACCTCACTCTGACCATTTTACTCGCCCTAGCAGAGCTGGTTAGGCTGTTTTTATGTTATCCAGAGCGTTGGTGACTGTAACTGTGCTGCTGGCAACAATTTAATTACGCTTTTTTTTTGCCGACGTTTACTGACACAGGCCATATTCAACTGGTGTTGAGCGTTCGTAAATTCATCAGTTATTCTGCGCGAGAGTGTTCTGAAATCGGAGTAGATAGCCAGAATTAACAATGCCCATTGAAACGCACAACGACTATACCACTTAACTAAGAATGTTGTAAATAATCAAGTCAATAAACGTTTAGTTAGATAGTTGATATACTGCCTGGCAAGTTCGATGTATTAGTAGCCAACTAATGTTAGGTAACTAGCTAACATACCGGTACATTCTGCCGTAATGCTATGCAGTTCGTAAGGATAGCGTAGCCAACATAACGTGTAACTTATTTGAAAAGTCATTACTTTGTTACATTGCACAACACTTTCTTAACATTTGTCATAATTAGTTAAAGCAATTAATTTGTATCCGCTCTCGTCGGACTTCGGCTGTATATTTTCCGCCATTTTCTTAAAATCTGAAAAGTTATGAAGCCGCGCCCCTTTTCTGAATAATTGCATTATGGGCCCTAAAAGCACGGAAATAGTTTCCACTGTATGTATACTTCGTATTTTGGAGAATTTAGTACGACATCAGGGAACTTTTGGCATACTAACCATATCCATACTATGACCAATAAACATACTATACACTCAATTCACGTCACAAATAGTACGGTTAGTATGAGTATTCGAACACCGCTACTGTCTCCCAGCTAAGCCCTACCAAACCCTAAACTCACATTGTCCTGTAGTACTAATTGATCACCACACAGTGGAGACAAACACTACAGACAAGCACTTCTGCACTTTGGGGAAAGATGCAGAGAGTGATTGGTCGTGTGTGTGTATGTGACCCACCATTATGGGTGGCAGTAGACCCAGTTCCTCCCCTAGAGAGATGGAGCGCTGAGTGGCTGCAGACAGAGTCCCATCTAATGCCATGTAACCCCCCTCTCCTCCATTACTACAGACAGAGAAAGAGAGAAAGACATGGGGAAAGAGAGAGAGGGTATGAGCTATTACAAACAATATGTGACAAAATTAGAGAGTGATGTGTGAGGGATGTTATGATTGTGTGTGTGTGTGTAGTTACACTAGGGCCTCTGCCAGTTGGCTCTCTAGATCCTTCATCTTCTCCTTCAGATCCTGAGAACAGAGAAACACACACACATAAAGCCCAGAGTGTATATCAGTTAAATATGTGTGTGTGAGGTCTGTATCAGGCGTATGTAAAATGTGTGTGTGTGATGTACCTGTGCGATGGAGGAGTACTCTGTAAGGGACTGCTCCAGCTGCTCAACAACAAAGTCCTTCTGTAGGAGAGACACACACACACAAAGGGATGTTGAGCACTGGCCAGCCAGCTAATAGACTGCAATGGACCACATTTAAACTGGCAAGCCATGTAGCATGTCTAAAGAATTTTTTGTACATTTATTGGGTATTTAGGGCATATTTCAAATGTAAACATTATCTTCAATACGTAGTTGTCACCTACCTTACATATGACCTCATCCCTGTGATCCAAAGCGAGTCTGCTCTCCTCGAGCTGAAGCTGTTTCTCACACACACACACACACACACACACACACACACGTTACGATTTACTATTAGGGCTGGAACAAATGACCCCCCTCTGATCTGGTGGTAGGATACCCCTGAGTGTGTGTGTGAGTTACCTGTAAGGCTTGTAGAGCCTGGCTGAGGTTAGTGATCTTCTTCTTGTCAGTGGCTCTGTCTGGTATAATACGGGACATCTAGGGGTGAAAGACAGACAGACCGAGACAATAGAATAGAAACGTTATGTGATGTTTTGAGGACAAACAATGTATATTATGCCTCCATATTGGCTGGCCAGTAAAACTTTCAGTTTGTCTGTTCTAACAGGGTCAAAGGGTTAGGTCAACATACCTCACTGCCGATGGACCTCGATCTGGTCCTCCAAAATCTCCTTCTCTTTCTCCTGAAAACAGTTGTATTTCTCACCATCAGTTTATTAATACTTTCTTCCCAAGTTACTTCATATTGACCAATTAGCTCAGTTGGTGAGGTGATTGGTCAAATCAGGTGTGTTCAGTTGCCTGGTTTTATTTGTCATATACAGTATCTCACAAAAGTGAGCACACCCCTCACATTTTTGTAAATATTTGAGTATATCTTTTCATGTGACAACACTGAATATTATATTATTATTAACACTGAAGAAATGACACTTTGCTGCAATGTAAAGTAGTGAGTGTACAGCTTGTATAACAGTGTAAATCTGCTGTCCCTTCAAAATAACTCAACACACAGCCATTAATGTCTAAACCGCTGGCAACAAAAGTGAGTACACCCCTAAGTGAAAATGTCCAAATTGGGCCCAATTAGCCATTTTCCCTCCCCGGTGTCATGTGACTTGTTAGTGTTACAAGGTCTCAGGTGTGAATGGGGAGCAGGTGTGTTAAATTTGGTGTCATCGCTCTCACACTCGTCACTGGAAGTTCAACATGGCACCTCATGGCAAAGAACTCTCTGAGGATCTGAAAAAAAGAATTGTTGCTCTACATAAAGATGGCCTGGGCTATAAGAAGATTGCCAAGACCCTGAAACTGAGCTGCAGCACGGTGGCCAAGACCATACAGTGGTTTAACAGGACAGGTTCCACTCAGAACAGGGCTCGCCATGGTCGACCAAAGAAGTTGAGTGCACGTGCTCAGCGTCATATCCAGAGGTTGTCTTTGGGAAATAGACGTATGAGTGCTGCCAGCATTGCTGCAGAGGTTGAAGGGGTGGGGGGTCAGCCTGCCAGTGTTCAGACCATACGCCGCACACTGCATCAAATTGGTCTGCATGGCTGTCGTCCCAGAAGGAAGCCTCTTCTAAAGATGATGCACAAGAAAGCCCGCAAACAGTTTGCTGAAGACAAGCAGACTAAGGACATGGATTACTGGAACCATGTCCTGTGGTCTGATGAGACCAAGATAAACTTATTTGGTTCAGATGGTGTCAAGTGTGTGTGGCGGCAACCAGGTGAGGAGTACAAAGACGAGTGTGTCTTGCCTACAGTCAAGCATGGTGGTGGGAGTGTCATGGTCTGGGGCTGCATGAGTGCTGCCGGCACTGTGGAGCTACAGTTCATTGAGGGAACCATGAATGCCAAAATGTACTGTGACATACTGAAGCAGAGCATGATCCCCTCCCTTCAGAGACTGGGCCGCAGGGCAGTATTCCAACATGATAACGACCCCAAACACACCTCCAAGACGACCACTGCCTTGCTAAAGAAGCTGAGGGTAAAGGTGAAGGACTGGCCAAGCATGTCTCCAGACCTAAACCCTATTGAGCATCTGTGGGGCATCCTCAAACAGAAGGTGGAGGAGTGCAAGGTCTCTAACATCCACCAGCTCCGTAATGTCGTCATGGAAGAGGACTCCAGTGGCAACCTGTGAAGCTCTGGTGAACTCCATTCCCAAGAGGGTTAAGGCAGTGCTGGAAAATGATGGTGGCCACACAAAATATTGACACTTAGGGCCCAATTTGGATATTTTCACTTAGGGGTGTACTCACTTTTGTTGCCAGCGGTTTAGACATTAATGGCTGTGTGTTGAGTTATTGAGGGGACAGCAAATGTACACTGTTATACAAGCTGTACACTCACTACTTTACATTGTAGCAAAGTGTCATTTCTTCAGTGTTGTCACATGAAAATATATACTCAAATATTTACAAAAATGTGAGGGGTGTACTCACTTTTGTGAGATACTGTATATATGGTTTCCACCTTAATTGGGAAGGATGGCCTCGTGGTAATGTCTGGAGCGGAATCAGTGGAATGGTATCAAACACATGGTTTCTATGTGATGCCATTCGCTCCATTTCAGCCATTATTATGAGCCGTCCTCCCCTCAGCAGCCTCCACTGATGGTTTCTTGTTTACTATTGCTGTACACCACTTCCTGGTTACCCACCAGTTGTTTGATGTAGGCCTCCAGGTTGCCCGTAGCATCGTCCTTCTCAACCAATAGGCTCCGGATCTCCTCCAGTTCATCCATCAGCTGCTCTGATTCATGGATTGACTGCTTCATCCTGACAAACACACACACACAAATAATGATGAACAGACTGACTGATTGATGGTTACATCTGACTTGGTTGTGCAGGGCAGTGTGTGTGGTTGCTAATACAGTTACCCTTTGACTTGGTTGTGCAGGGCAGTGTGTGTGGTTGCTAATACAGTTACCCTTTGACTTGGTTGTGCAGGGCAGTGTGTGTGGTTGCTAATACAGTTACCCTTTGACTTGGTTGTGCAGGGCAGTGTGTGTGGTTGCTAATACAGTTACCCTTTGACTTGGTTGTGCAGGGCAGTGTGTGTGGTTGCTAATACAGTTACCCTTTGACTTGGTTGTGCAGGGCAGTGTGTGTGGTTGCTAATACAGTTACCCTTTGACTTGGTTGTGCAGGGCAGTGTGTGTGGTTGCTAATACAGTTACCCTTTGACTTGGTTGCGCAGGGCAGTGTGTGTGGTTGCTAATACAGTTACCCTTTGACTTGGTTGCGCAGGGCAGTGTTCTCGGTGCGTAGCAGTGTGTTGCTGTCATCAGCTACGTCCACTGTTCTCTGCAGCTCTGAGTTCAATTGCTTCAGTCTGCTTCGGGAATACACCAACTCTGCTAGAACATCACGCCTCTCCTCTGAACTCCTACAAACCCACACGTTAGAAAGTGGTAAGTACACCAACTGCTATCACAACAGCCTTGGTGTCCAGATCACTAAGGACCTATCATGGTCCAAACACACCAACACAGTCGCTAAGAGGGCTCGACAACGCCTCTTCCCCCTCAGGAGGCTGAAAAGATTTGCCATGGGCCCTCAGATCCTCAATAAGTTACACAGCTGCATCATTGAAAGCATCTTGACTGGCTGCATCACCACTTCGTATGGCAACTGCTTGGCATCCGACTGCAAAGCGCTACAGAGGGTGGTGCGTACGGCCCAGTACATCACTGGGACTGAGGTCCCTGCCATCCAGGACCTCTATACTAGGCGGTCAGAGGAAGGCCCCAAAAATTGGTCAAAGACTCTAGCCACCCAAGTCATAGACTGTTCTCTCTGCTACCGCATGGCAAGCAGTACCGGAGCGCCTGGGACCAAAAGGCTCCTTAACAGCTTCTACCCCCAAGCCATAAGACTGCTGAACAGTTAATCAAATGGCTACCCGGACTATTTGCATTGACCCCACTTTTATTTTGCACTGGCTCTATGCACACTCACTGGACTCTACCCACACATTCACACATACTATACTGACACTCCAACACACACATACACTCTCACACACACACAGACACACTTTCACACTCGCTGCTGCTACTCTGTTTATTATATATCCCGATTGCCTAGTCACTTTTACCCCTACCTACATGTACATATTACCTCAATTACCTCAACTACCTTATACCCCTGCACATTGCTACCGTTACTCCTTATATATAGCCTCGTTATTGTTATATTATTGTGTTACTAATTCCTTTATTTTTGTTGCTAATTGTTCTTACTTTTTAACTGCATTGTTGGGAATGGGCTCCTAAGTAAGCATTACACAGTAAAGTCTACACCTGTTGTATACAAATACAATTGTATTTGCTAGGAGTTGTCTGGGTGTAAGGCACTCACAGGTCTGCAGAGTTGAGGATCCTCTCCTCCTCTGACACGTACAGCCTGACAGACTCATCATTCTGCTTCCCCTCTGAAACACACACACACACAAAACATCAAAACAGACACACAACCCCCCCCCCCCCTCCCCACCCCACAACACACACACCTTTGAATTGGTTGTAAAGAGCAGCCAATAACTTATTAAAAACTCACCTTCATAATCATAGCCATCATCTTCCACTGAGTCTGACCTAAACACACACACAGAGCAGCGAAATGTGTGGACACACAGATTTGAGCAGATAGAGGAAGGCTATGGCTATAACTGTGTGTGTGTGTATGTTCACCTTAGCTGGTCTGGGCTGGCATACATATCCCTCCATCTGGGTCCCCCGGTGCTACCTACACAGGGGACAGGAAAGAGGAGAGAAAGGACCAAGTGTTACACATACATCCCTGATGTGTCAATGAATCTGACTACTACTGCATGGTTGACACCTCAAGAGCCCAGTTCCATCTCATTTCCCACTCTCACAACCAAGACCCCAGTTCCACCCCACTTCCCACTTCCCACTCTCTGAGTTGATAAGGTAAATAATCCAAATTGGACAAAATTGTATATTGTTCGACAAGTCGACACGCACCATCATCTTCCCATTGGCCAGCCTCGGCAGGCCCCCGGTACCGGCCCCGCCGCTCATCTTCCCATTGGCCAGGCTCGGCAGGCCCCCGGTACTGGCCCCGCTGTTCATCTTCCCATTGGCCAGCCTCGGCAGGCCCCCGGTACCGGCCCCGCTGCTCATCTTCCCATTGGCCAGCCTCGGCAGGCCCCCGGTACCGGCCCCGCTGCTCATCTTCCCATTGGCCAGCCTCGGCAGGCCCCCAGTACCGGCCCCGCCGCTCATCTTCCCGTTGTCGTGAACCCTGGTGACCTCGGAGGAGAGCTGGGAGGTCGAGCACCGAGCATGATGTCACACCGTGGGGGGCACAGTTTAATAGACCCAGCTGCTGCAGCCGCCTCGTCTACATTAGAACCACAACAACTTCATCTGGAAAGGCTTTAAGCCTACATACACATCTCTGAAAGTGCTAACAAATATATTACTGTAAAGCAAAATGGCAGACTACTAGTACAGTACTCAGGTGAGCTTTATTGACATGAAACTGAAATAATCCGATGTTGCCAAAAGCAATACACCATTTTTTTTTGTGTTGGCACAATATGAACGAATTCTAGATATAACTATATATTACCTCAATGGGGAAGGAGACGGTCCTGCGCAGCATTCTCCCTCAAAGCCCCAATGCCGCTGGAAATCTGTCAGCTACAGACCATTTCAGACCATTTC